GTTAAGCAGTTTATGTATCTTATCAATTCCTCTTGAGAATTTTGTAGGTAGTGATCATGTCTCCCCGAGCTCTCGTGTCTTCCAGCGACGTTAGGTGCATATCACGCAGCCTTTCCTAGTAACTTATGCCTCTTAGTTCTGAGAATAGCCTAGTGTTACCTAGTGTAACCTAGCCTAGTTACCTCTGAACTAGGTAACTTTTACTCCAGAGGTAAAATCTGTATACATCTTGGTGAGACCAGTCGTAGAGAAAGTAGTCGTATCGTGGAGCCCAAACGTCAAAATGCACATAAGGAAGTTTGAAAATGTTCAGAGGTTTGCAACGAGGCTCGTCCCAGTATTACGTGGGATGGGGTAGGAAGAAAGGCTGAAAGAAATGACCTGGCGTCGAGAGAGAGAGAGAGAGAGAGAGAGAGAGAGAGAGAGAGAGAGAGAGAGAGAGAGAGAGAGAGAGAGAGAGAGAGAGAGAGTAACCCATCCACCTGTTTATATAGTAACTATTGTGACGATCGTCAATAGTCAGAATTCGTACGTACTTTGCTCTTAGATAGTCGTATACTGACTAGTAAGGAACTCTTTTAAAATAAATGAAGCTAAAACACAAACTTAAATATTCCTAGGCCTAGTATAGCTCATACCTGTACTATATTAGGGCGTCAGAGAGCGTGTATTAGGCCTAGGAAGGTTAGGTTAGTTTGTCAAAGCAACACAAGTAACAAATAGTTTTCCGTTTTTTCCAACTCAATAGTGCCGATTTCTACTTTCTAATTTCGCTGTACGTCGGCATATATAAATACTCTGGTCCTCATCGTTACTATAAGTACGACCAAAACAGGAGGATAAGCTACAGACAGACAGACACAAACAGAAACACAATTTATAACGGCTCACAAACCATGACAGAGAAAGAACACGGGGTTCTACGCGTGGTTCAGTTAGGTTAAGTTAGGTTCACGCGCTTTAGTACACTTATTTTTGTCCGTTGGGGCAACTCAAGAGAGGACGGGCTTCGATATGACAAAGCTGGCTCTGGTGTAGTGGGAGGTGTAGGCAAGCCTAGGCTTGTGTGTGTGGGGGGGGGTAGGCAGGAGGAGGGACAACAGAGACAATTGCAAATGTTGCAGATGGCAAGATGGCAGCGCGAGCCTGTGTGTGGCGTGCAACACGCCTTAACTTAATGCCTAGCAACATTACCATTGCATCCGCAGTGTGTATTAAACTCATATACCTGCATCATGGGGGCCTCGTAGCCTGGTGGATAGCGCGCAGGACTCTTAATTCTGTGGCGCGGGTTCGATTCCCGCACGAGGCAGAAACAAATGGGCAAAGTTTCTTTCACCCTGAATGCCCCTGTTACCTAGCAGTAAATAGGTACCTGGGAGTTAGTCAGCTGTCACGGACTGCTTCCTGGGGGTGGAGGCCTGGTCGAGGACCGGGCCGCGGGGACACTAAAAAGCCCCTAAATCATCTCAAGATAACCTCAAGATAGATCAGTTAAGACCTAAGCCTCGCTCCCGAGGGCTCAGGGGTGGTGTGGGGCGGGCGGCCGACCATATAGTAGCAGCTGGAGCACTGTGCAACATGGCGTACCTGGTTCCTTAACCACTCGACCAACAGTGTATCAGTGTATCTATATATAATATAGATACTCATTATATACTGTATCTATATTATAGATACACTTATATTGTATATTATAGATATATTTATTGTTTGTAATGTGTATCTATGTATAATATAGATACAAAACTCTCTATAGTGGACCAAACTCTCACAAGTCGAGCCTGGCCTCGGGCCGGGCTGGAGAGTAGAAGAACTCCCAGAACCCCATCAACCAGGTAAGCATATTAGCGAACATTCAGAGTGATAAACATACGCACGTCCTACAACAGGAGGATGCGGTTGTGAAAAAAACACGTCGACTCACAACTGATAACGTTCGAACATTTCTCGAACCGTGCTTCGAAGCTGACGCCCCTGTTCGAATCTCACCTATGTAAACACCTCTCCCATATACGACAATCACAAATAATTCCCAACAGAACTTAATTAAAACACCTTAGCTAACCTGGACCCTGACCTTGCTCCAAATTATCTGTTGGAATACTAGTTTACATTTGAGGAAAATACAATCTTAGAATCCATATTACGTTGAAATTTATGAATGTATTTTGAGTTTGGACACAGCTTGGACGAGCATATGGCCTGAGGATGCAAATGACAAGATTATACTCAATCAATCCCCGACTGATTGAGTATAATCGGTCGGAGAATGGAATGGACGGTAGAGCGACGATCTTGCTTCTTGAAGGTCGGCGTTCAATCCCCAACCGTCCACAAGTGGTTGGGCACCATTCCTTTTCCCTCCGTCCCATCCCAAATCCTTATCCTGACCCCTTCCCAGTGCTATATTGTCGTAGTGGCTTGGCGCTTTCCCCTGATAATTCCCCTCTGGGATTATGTCATACCTTAACTTTATAATCATGCATTAATCAGTGAATTATTACACATATCCGCTTAATTATCACAGAGTTCTTACCAACATTCTCGTAGGAACAAATGTATTATCACGTCTATGGGAGTAAACTGTTGTCTTCACTCGTCGTATATACCTGGGAATAACTGCGCTAATTCTTGTGTATATGTGTGCGAATTATTGCGGTAATTCTTGTATATATATAAGTGTGAATAATTGCGTTTATGTATATATATGTGTGAATAATTGCGTTTATGTATATATATGTGTGAATAATTGTGTTTATGTATATATATGTGTGAATAATTGCGTTTATGTATATATATGTGTGAATAATTGTGTTTATGTATATATATGTGTGAATAATTGCGTTTATGTATATATATGTGTGAATAATTGTGTTTGTGTATATATATATATATATGTGTGAATAATTGCGTTTATGTATATATATAATTGTGAGTAATTGCGTGAATCGTTGCATGTACAAATAAATTATTATGCAGATCCGTGTATATACACGGGTGAATAATTGGCCGAATGCGCTTATTTGCTGATGGTAAGCGCGTTGGATCTAATAATATGCCGGTGAATAACGAGCGATGGTGAGTATCTCAGAGCATCTGACAAAGAGTGATGTCCCCAGCGGCCACCAGATGGCAGGTCCCGCCCCCGCGCCCCCCCCCCTCCCCCGCCCCCTCCCGGGGTGATCCACGGCCCGATTATGTCAGCAATTTACTTTACATTAGTTTCTCCCCCAGATATGAATCGTCCTGCTAAGGCGGCGCATCGTGTATGTCCCTTTTACGTGAAGGGCGCAAAAAAAAAGGGGGTTTTAATGAGTATTTATGGTCGTGTTTGTAGTGGTGGTGTCGGTGTTTGATGCTGGATTGGGTTAATATGCCCCCCCTTAACCCCCCTTAAACCCCCCTTAAACCCCCCATATCCCCCCCATATCCCCCTCCCTATAGCCCTAACCCTTTGGTGTGACTTCGCCAAAGAGCTCCTCTTTGGGCACCCCTGTGATTAAGGCCTGCAATTCGAGGGCTTAACCACCTCATTTATGGTGACAGAGCTAACAAAGTAAGTAGACTTAGATCCCCTTTTGTTGGATATATAGCGACGGTCCGCGGTGAAACGGGTGCTTAACCCCTAAAGTGCTGTGACCCATTTATTGTAAATACTGAGTCTCCCAACACACACACACACACACACACACACACACACACACACACACACACACACACACACACACACACACACACACACACACACACACACACACACACAGAGGCGGGATCCAAGAGTCAATGCTCGATCCTGCAGACACAACTAGGTGAGTATACACACACACACACACACACACACTCACACTCACACTCACACTCACACACACACACACACACACACACACACACACACACACACACACACACACACACACACACACAATGTGAGCCCGTTGTTATGTATGCGTTGTAGTAACGCAATAACGTTGTGGGGAAAGTCTCTTGTTGCAAGAAATCCTCTTTTTGAGTGTTGCAACATCCCTAGAACTGAAACACTTGTTGGACACTCTGACGACGAGTTAATGTATGTCGACCCCTTAAATATAAACATTTGTCAGCGCTTAAACGTGATAAAATGGCAACCTCTAAATGTGAAAATTCTTGACAACTCGTAAAAACGTTTATAGGCTTTTATAATTTATATATATATAATTTATATAATTTATAATTTATAAGTTATATATATATAATTTATATATAGGCGTTTATAATCTTTAAATATGCTGCCGAACCACTTGGGCTGGACGGTAGAGCGACCGTCTCGCTTCATGCAGGTCGGCGTTCAATCCCCGACCGTCCACAAGTGGTTGGGCACCATTCCTTCCCCCCGTCCCATCCCAAATCCTTATCCTGACCCCTTCCCAGTGTTATATAGTCGTAATGGCTTGGCGCTTTCCCCTTGATAATTCCCTCCCTCCTTCCCTAAATATGAAATATGACAATCCTGAAATATGGTGATGTGTGGCAACCCTTAAATGTGAATCTCCATGGCAACCCCTGAATGTGAATCTCCATGGCAACCCCTGAATGTGAATCTCCATGGCAACCCCTCAATGTGAATCTCCATGGCAACCCCTGAATGTGAATCTCCATGGCAACCCCTCAATGTGAATCTCCATGGCAACCCCTGAATGTGAATCTTCATGGCAACCCCTCAATGTGAATCTCCATGGCAACCCCTCAATGTGAATCTCCATGGCAACCCCTCAATGTGAATCTCCATGGCAACCCCTGAATGTGAATCTTCATGGCATCTCCTGAATGTGAATCTTCATGGCAACCCCTGAATGTGAATCTTCATGGCAACCCCTCAATGTGAATCTCCATGGCAACCCCTCAATGTGAATCTTCATGGCAACCCCTCAATGTGAATCTCCATGGCAACCCCTCAATGTGAATCTTCATGGCAACCCCTCAATGTGAATCTCCATGGCAACCCCTGAATGTGAATCTTCATGGCATCCCCTGAATGTGAATCTCCATGGCAACCCCTGAATGTGAATCTTCATGGCAACCCCTCAATGTTAATCTCCATGGCAACCCCTCAATGTGAATCTTCATGGCATCCCCTCAATGTGAATCTCCATGGCAACCCCTGAATGTGAATCTTCATGACATCCCCTGAATGTGAATCTTCATGGCAACCCCTGAATGTGAATCTCCATGGCAACCCCTGAATGTGAATCTTCATGGCAAGCCCTCAATGTGAATCTTTATGGCAACCCCTGAATGTGAATCTCCATGGCAACCCCTGAATGTGAATCTTCATGGCAACCCCTGAATGTGAATCTTCATGGCAACCCCTCAATGTGAATCTTCATGGCAACCCCTCAATAATGAAGATTCCTGGTAACCCCTAAATAGGAAGAATTATGATATCCCCCCCCCCTCATAGTGGGGATATTCATTACGACCTGTAACGCTGGGATATTCTTCACGACCTGTAACGCTGGGATATTCTTCACGACCTGTAACGCTGGGATATTCTTCACGACCTGTAACGCTGGGATATTCTTCACGACCTGTAACGCTGGGATATTCTTCACGACCTGTAACGCTGGGATATTCTTCACGACCTGTAACGCTGGGATATTCTTCACGACCTGTAACGCTGGGATATTCTTCACGACCTGTAACGCTGGGATATTCTTCACGACCTGTAACGCTGGGATATTCTCCACGACCTGTAACGCTGGGATATTCTCCACGACCTGTAACGCTGGGATATTCTCCACGACCTGTAACGCTGGGATATTCTTCACGACCTGTAACGCTGGGATATTCTTCACGACCTGTAACGCTGGGATATTCTTTACGACCTATAACGCTGGGATATTCTCCACGACTTGTAACGCTGGGATATTCTTTACGACCTGTAACGCTGGGATATTCTCCACGACCTGTAACGCTGGGATATTCTCCACGACCTGTAACGCTGGGATATTCTCCACGACCTGTAACGCTGGGATATTCTTCAGCACCTGTAACGCTGGGATATTCTTCACCACCTGTAACGCTGGGATATTCTCCACGACCTGTAACGCTGGGATATTCTTCACGACCTGTAACGCTGGGATATTCTCCACGACTTGTAACGCTGGGATATTCTCCACGACTTGTAACGCTGGGATATTCTTTACGACCTGTAACGCTGGGATATTTTCCACGACCTGTAACGCTGGGATATTCTCCACGACCTGTAACGCTGGGATATTCTCCACGACCTGTAACGCTGGGATATTCTTCACCACCTGTAACGCTGGGATATTCTCCACGACCTGTAACGCTGGGATATTCTCCACGACCTGTAACGCTGGGATATTCTCCACGACCTGTACCGCTGGGATATTCTTCACCACCTGTAACGCTGGGATATTCTTCACGACCTGTAACGCTGGGATATTCTCCACGACCTGTAACGCTGGGATATTCTTCACGACCTGTAACGCTGGGATATTCTCCACGACCTGTAACGCTGGGATATTCTCCACGACCTGTAACGCTGGGATATTCTTCACGACCTGTAACGCTGGGATATTCTTCACCACCTGTAACGCTGGGATATTCTCCACGACCTGTAACGCTGGGATATTTACGACCTCTGAATTCCGAGTCTTTAGGATAGCCTCTGAATTAGGAATATTTGTTATGTTCCGTAAACAGGTGATTTATCTGAGATTTGTGAGGTCCTTAAGTATATTTATAACGACGGAACTTGAGTGACTTATGAGTCTGTCTCTCAAGGGTGTGTGTACTCACCTAGTTGTACTCACCTAGTTGTGTTTGCGGGGGTTGAGCTCTGGCTCTTTGGTCCCGCCTCTCAACCGTCAATCAACAGGTGTACAGATTCATGAGCCTATCGGGCTCTGTCATATCTACACTTGAAACTGTGTATGGAGTCAGCCTCCACCACATCACTTCCTAATGCATTCCATTTGTCAACCACTCTGACACTAAAAAAGTTCTTTCTAATATCTCTGTGGCTCATTTGGGCACTCAGTTTCCACCTGTGTCCCCTTGTGTTAAATAGACACCAATAGACATAAATGTGTTTAAATAGTGTGTGTGTGTGTGTGTGTGTGTGTGTGTTGTGTGTGTGTGTGGTGTGTGTGTGTGTGTGTGTGGTGTGTGTGTATATGTGTATATATGTGTGTGTGTGTGT